GTGAGTGAGATCGATAGTGAGACCGATACTGAGATCGAGAGGTGTCCCGCGGTGTCCCGTGGTGTCCCGTGGTGGCCCGTGGTGTCCCGTGGTGTCCCGTTGAGTGAGATCGATAGTGATATCGATAGTGAGATCGACAAGTGAGATCGACAAGTGTCCCGTGGTGTCCCGTGGTGTCCCGTGGTGTCTAGTTGAGTGAGACCGATAGCGAGATCGATTGAGTCAGATGTTGGTTCCCCCCCTCTCCCCCCCCCACACAACCTCCTTATCACCCGAAGGGTGGTCCTATATATATTTTTCAATTGAAGTGCGTTTCCCGGGGCTCGCACCGGGTTTTTTATCAGGGAAAGTCTTGAGGGTCAAATTGTGTCGTTCGCCCCGTGTTTACAACAACAACAACGGATCCCGCTTGATATTTCTTCACAATTTATTCAAACATTGCGCTCTCGCTTTGGACTTCATGGCCATGTACCACCAAATCGCGGCTCCCGCTTGGTGCTTCCTGACAATTTATTACAGAATCGCGTTCTCATTTGGGACTTTCTCGCAACTTACCACCGAGCCGCTTCGCTTGATATTTTTCTACACCTTATTCATTCAGATGCCGTTCCCCGACACTCAGGAATCGCGCTCCCGCTACATATTGCCTGGCAGTTCAAGCATGGCTCAGGCTTCAACGACCCGCCCGCTCGACCCGCCCGTCAGGGCCTGCCCGCCCGACCAGCCCGTTAATGACTGCAGTCGCCGCTCGCTGCCCTTCGCCCGCCTTCGATGCCCCTCGCTGCCCGTGCTGGTTCCGCGGTCGCCTTCGCTCGCTGCCGTTCGTGGCCCGTTGGTACCCTCAGTAGCCCCGTCGCTGCCCTTTGTGGCCCCGCATTATATGCCCTTCGTGGCCCCCGCTCGCACGCGCCCGTTGTGGCCCCATACGCATGCCCTTCGTAGTCCCGCTGTCGCCTTTGTGGGCCTCTCGCTGCCCTTCGTGGCCCCTTTGCTGCCCTCAGTGGCCCCGCTGTCGCCCTTTGTGGCCCCGGATACGCGCCTGTCGTGGCCCTATATGCATGGCTTTCGTGGCCCCGCTGTCGCCCTTTGTGGCCCCCTCGCTGCCCTTCGTGGCCCCAGTGTTGCCCTCAGCGGCCCCGTCGCTGTTCTCTGTGGCTTGGATTTTGTGCCCTTCGTGGCCCACGCTGGCTTTTCTCACGGTTTCCTTGGGAATTCCGCTGTCGCTCGAGATTTCCTCGCGATTCATGCAGGACCCACGCTTCAGCAACCCGCCTGCTCGACATCGTCGCCTGGGCCCGCCTTCCCGACCTGCCCGCTATGGGTCTGCCCACCCGATCTGCCCATCTGGTTCTACCACTTGTTTTCTGCTTCTTGCCTCCCTCCTGCTAATTTCTCTCGTGCTCCATTCTTCTCCTCCCCCTCCCACCCGTCCTCTCTTCCCTTGTTTTAGGGGCTGCACTAAATACACGTGGCAGGTAAGGAAGCTACACCCACATGGGGGTACGATCGAAGAAGACGAGGGTGGGTATCGAGGGCTTGGGATATACGTATTGATTGGCACGTGAGCAGATCGGAGCGAACAGTCTTAACATGATTGTTGTTGTTGCTGCTGCTGTTATTCCTGTTGTTGGTGGTGGGTGGCGCCCCGGGGAAGGGCGTCAGGGAAGGCTCTTATCCCCCCAAGCAGGGAGCTCCGGCCGTCGCCCTCACCAAGGGCGTCCAGGAACGTCCTTATCCTTGTTGTTGTTGTTGTTATTGACGAAACCACTCACTGGCGCCGGCCCCCCCCCCCCCGGCGCAACGCAACGCAACGCAACGCAACGCACGTTACCCCGAATCCTATAGGAGTCCTATTGGAATCCTATAGGGTCTCCGCGAACCTTGTAGGAATCCTACAGGAATCCCACAGGAATCCTATAGGGCCTCTTACGAATCCGATGGGATTCCTATAGGGCCTTTACGAATCCTATGTGATTCCTACAGGAATCCGATGGGAATCCTATAGGGCTTCTCCGATTCCTGTAGGAATCCCATAGGAATCCTATAGGGCCTCTACGAACCCTATAGGAATCCTATAGGAATCCCATATTAATCCTTTAGGGCCTTTACGAATCCTATTGGAATCCTATAGCAAACCTATAGGAATCCTATAGGGCCTCTGCGAATCTGATAGGATTTCTATAGGACTCATGGGATTCCTATAGGGCTTTTACGAACCTCGGAAGACTCCTATAGGAATCTGATAGGAATTCCCAGAGGGCCTCTACATATCCTATAGGACTCCCATAGGAATCCTATAGGGCCTCTACGAATCCTATAGGAATCTTATATGATTTTTTTTATAAGTGTTCTGTAGGGCCTCCGCGAATCTTTTAGGAATCCTATAGGAATCTTATAGGAATCCTAAAGGGCCTCTACGAATCCTACTGGAATCCTGTAGGAATCCCATGGGAATCCTATAGGGCCTCTGCGAATGTTATAGGAATCCGATAGGACTCCGATCGGATCTATTGTGCCTTCACGAATCCTATAGGAATCTTGCGGGAAGCCTATAGGGCTTTTACGAATTCTATGTGAGTCATTTTTAGGAATCTTATAAGAATCCCATAGGGCCTCTGGCCTCACAGGGAGCTCCTCCGAAGTTTCATTTCGGCACACCCCTCTCGAGGATCGTGGCCCTGGCCTCGGAGGGAGCTCCTCCGAAGCTTCATTTCGGCACACCCTTCTCGAGGATCGTGGCCCTGGCCTCACAGAGGGTTTCTCCGAAGCTTCATGTCGGCACACCCCTCAAGGATGATCGTTGCCCTTGCCCCACAGGGAGCTCCACCCACGCCTCATTTCGGCACATCCCTCTCGAGGATCGCGGCCATGGCCGCACAGGGAGCTCTACCGAAGCTTCATTTCGGAACACCCCTCTCGAGGATCGTCGCCCTGGTCCCACAGGGAGCTCCACCGAATCTTCATTTCTGCACACCCCTCTCGAGGACCGTGGCCCTGGCCCCACAGGGAGCTCCACCGAAGCATCATTTCGGCACACGCCTCTCGAGGATCGTGGCACAGACCCCGCAGGGAGGCCCACTGAAGCTTCATTTCGGCACACCCTTCTCGAGGATCGTGGCCCTGGCCCCACACGGAGCCCCACCGAAACATCATTTCGGCACACGTATCTCGAGGATCGTGGCCCTGGCCCCGCAGCGAGCTCTTTTCGTTACCGTGCCGGCCCAGCTTCTAACACGCCTCTGCCGTGCAGGAGGCACGGCGGCGGATTTGACTCCAGTGGCTCTGGTGGCCTTGCGGCTGACGTGGGCAAGCTCCTCTCCCTCTCTTCATTTGTGGTTCAAGCCATTTGGGCATGCGCCTCCCCCCTCTGGGGCAGGCCACTGAGGGACGCCGGGCAACACGCAAACGAGTCGACGCTTCACCTGCTGCTGCGCCTGCACGGCGGTTCCTTTCTAGGAAGCCCTGACTGCCCCACCCTGCGCACCTCTTCCCCCGCAAGGGGGAGGAGGAGGAGGAGGAGGACGAGGACGAGGACGACGACGAAGAGGGGGAGGGGGAGGAGGAGGAGGACGTCAAGCGAGGGATTCTATAGCATCCCGTGGGGATTCTATAGCATCCCTGAGGGATTCTATAGCATCCCTTAGGGATTATATAGCATCCCTCAGGGGGTCTGCAGACTCCCCTTAGGGATTCTCTAGCATCCCTCAGGATTCCATAGCATCCTCGGGATTCTTTCGCATCCCTTTAAAGATTCTATAGCATCTCCTTAGGGATTCTATAGCATCCCTTCAAGGATTCTACAGTATCCCTCAGGGATTTTAGAGCATCCCTTAGGGATTCTATAGCATCCCTTAGGGGTTCTATGGCTGCCCTAAGGGATTCTATGGCAGCCCTAAAGGATTTTATGGCAGCCCTTAGGGTTTCTATAGCATCCCTTAGGGATCCTGTAGCATCCCTTAGGGGTTCTGCAGCCTCCCCTGAGGGATTCTGTAGCATCCCTCAGGGATTCTATAGCATCCCTCAGGGATTCTGTAGCAGCTTATAGCATTCCTTAGGGATTCTGCAGCAGCCCTTAGGAATTCTATAGTAGCCGTTAGGGGTTCTATAGCATCCCTCAGGGATTCAATAGGATCCCTTAGGGATTGTATATAATCTCCTTGGAGGTTCTGCAGCCTTCCCTCAGGGATTCTATAGCATCCCTTAGGGATTATAGCATGCCCGAAGGCTTCGGCTCGGGGGAGCTCGCACAGTTTCAGCTCGTGGGAATGCGTCGGGTTCCTTAAGGATTCCGAAGAATTCCAGAGGATTTGCCAATGGCTTCCTTTGGTTTCTGTTGCCAACCATATGTTGCGTTGCGTTGCGTTGCGTTGCATGGGGGGGGAGGGTCCGGGTCCACCAATGATCTGTTTCGCCACAAGGAGCGAAACAGCGAGCTGGTGGACCCTCACCGGGTCCACCAGTCGGTTGTTTTGCCTTGTTGTTGTTGTTGCTGTTGCTGTTGCTGTTGCTGTTGCTGTTGCTGTTGCTGTTGTTTGTTTGTTGTTCCTGTTGCTGTCTTGTTTTTGTTGCTGGCACCCACAGGGCTCTTCGCCGTGTTGCACTTCTGCCACGCAAAGCATCCTTTGGAGACAAGAGGCTTCCTTGTATGTGGACGCGTACGAAATGATTCCTTTGTGGCGGATCAGGTGGGGGAAGAGAGAGAGAGAGAGAAATAGATAATGAACGAGAGAGAGAGAGAGAGAGAAAAAAAAAAGAGAGAGACAGAGAGAGGAAGGGAGAGATACAGGGAAAAACACAGAAAGAGAGAGAGAGAGAGAGAGATAAATAAATAGAGAGAGAGAGAGAGAGATGGAGATAGAGAGAGAGAGAGAGAGAGACCCCCCCCCCAAAAAAGAGATAGACAGAGACGGAAAGCCACATACAGTCCCACCTTTTCCCTCCCCCTCCCCCCCCTCCCCTCCTGCCCTCTTCCCGCCCCGCCGGCGACCCCTCCGCGAGAGGGCTACCACTACTGGTGGTGAGCCGCCGCCGCCCCCCCCGCAGCGGGCGGCCGGTGCCGACGCCCACGCGCGGCCAGTGCACCTCTGGCGGCCGGGCCGCCCCAGGCCAAAGCCGTTCCGTGGGCCCCGGCCGCCCTCCATTTGGGCCGCCCCAGCGGGGCCGGAGCAGAGGGGTAAGACGAAACTCGGGTCTCAAGGGACGGGGGTCAATGCAAGAGGGGGTCAGTCACAGCGCTGGATCTTGCAGTATCCTTCAGAGCCAGGGGCGCGCTGACCCGGGTTTGGGTGCAGGGTGCTGCAGGAGCCCGATTGACCAGGGTCTGGATCGACCTGGGGCAAAAGATCACCGAGAAGCCAGAACGAGGACAGCATCGGGTGAGGACAACTCGGGGATCTTTGAGATCTAGCGGGTCTGGAGGATGTCTCGGGCGCCGCGGCCTTCCCAGAGCACTCCGGGACGCTCTGAGAGCGTCCAGGAACGCTCTGGAACGGATTTATCCTCGCCCCAGCCCCGTCCGAAGGTCGCCCCAGCGTCGGAGGACGCGTCACGTCACGGGGGGGCGATAATTGGGCGGGGCAGCGAGGGCTGCGGAGAAGTGGGCCCTTGGGGGCCCCCGAGAGATCTTTTGAGGCCCCAGAGTGGGCCTTGAGGGCTCCCAGAGGGCCCTTCTCTTCCCCAGGCTCAGTCATCGCCCCCCGGATTAATTCGCGCCCAGCAGCGGTTCTGGGGATGCGAGGGATCGGGCGGCTGGAGTTTTGCAGGCGCCTCGGTCCGCCTCCTGGCCGCCCCAGCGGGGCTGGATTCAGGCCGGTCGCCCGAGGTGTTGGAGGTTCCCGAGATTTTGGCGTTGTTTTTCTTCGCGCCGGGCGTTTCCGTCTTGTTCTGGACCCCGGCAGAGCGATGTTCGGGAGGGTCTTGGACGTTTTCGGTTCGTTTTGGGTCTCGGGGAGGCTCCTCCTCCCCGTAGCCGAATTCCCCTCAGAGTTTTGGCGACGCCGAGCCCCTGGAGAGATGCCTGGGGGATGACTGACTCCTTGAGGGTCGCGTGAAGAGAAACGATTCGTAGATTTCGGCCTCCTGGGGCCTTCCCCAGGGCCCCAGGACGAACAACGGACTCAGGATGAACATCTGATCTTGGAGAGAGCCACGGCTCCAGAGTTCGCTTCTTGTAACACCGGCTTCCCTCATGGCAACTGAAGGCGGAGGATCGCGCTGCATCACCTGTATATCGACGTCGCGGCGTGATCTGGAAGTGCATCGCCGATGCATCGGCTGTGCGGTGGGATTCTCTGGCTTCATCTGCTCTGGCCCCAAAGGTGGCGACCTGCCGCCGCGCGGGGGGATGACAATAACAGCTCTGCCAGCGCGGAAAAGCACAGGCTGCAACTCCTGGGAGGTCGAATGGGTAGTTGGCCTCGGTACTCTTTCGGTGCCACGTTCAGGTCTGATTAGCAGGCCGGCCCAGCAGAGTCACGGGTCGTCTCGTGTCCTGTCTATCGCGTTTCATGTTTTCTTCATGTTTGGAGTTAAGACAGGGTTTGGAGGAGATTTGATTTCTCTCGTGTGTCCTCTGCGATCGGTCCCGACCGTACTCTGCAGGCTGACATAGTCCCAGCTTCGTAACTCCTGGATCTGGTTCACTAGCTTTGTTCTTGGGCACGAAGACATCCCAGGAATTGGCACCTGAAAGCAGGTTGGATACCTACACCCATCGTTGTACTTTTTCTCGTCGTCGTCGTCTTCCACCTCCTCTTCTTCCCATTCCTGGGGTGGTCGTCATCCTCCTCTTCGACCCTCACTCCCCCCATGCTCTTCCTCGTCCTCGTCGTTTGAGATCGTCACCACCGTCGGCAGCAGAAGCTTCCCCGACGTTTGCGCGCGCAGTCTTGGACTCTCTGCCCGTGCGTTCCCTGATGCTGGGTGCGGTCGGGAGAGGGGAACTCAGATTTTCTGGTCTCTCCTCCTCTTCCTCCTCTTCCTCCTCCTCCTCCTCCTCCTCCTCCTCCTCCTCCCTCTCCTCCTCCTCCCTCTCCTCTCCCTCCTCCCCCCCTCTCCCCGCTGGTCCCTCCTCCTACTCCTCCTCTGCATCTGTTCCTGAGTGTGGGCATCTGGAGGCCTGACTCGGGGCCCGTGACCACCGTCGACATGGCCCGGGAAGCGAGGAAAAGCAATTCCCAGGGATCCGTGCCGAGAGCGACATGTCCCGTCTGACGTGAGTTCGACGTCGGCTCCTGGCCGGGAGGCCATCCACCAAGATTTGGTCCTCCCAGGTGTGGGCGGGCCTGTGGAGGCCAGGTGGTTGTGGTGCGTGTATCGTCCCTCTCATTGTGCTGGCTTCTTCTTCCTCTTCTTTTCTTTCTTCTTCTTCTTCTTGTCCTTCGGGCCTGCTCCACGTCCGCCGGCCCCGTGAGCGCAGTCCGCTCGTGTCGTGGAGTTGCTGGGGCCAGCCGGCAGACGCGAGAGGCTGAGGTCTCGGGAGAGCGCGTCCTGCATTGCGCCTTCCGTCCCGCCCCCTGGGGCGTCCAGCGGGCCGCCTTTGGGCTTCCAAGAGGTCCTCTCGGAGCTGGTCTCGGGCCGTCCTTGGGGCTTCGTGCCCTGTTTTTGGAGCCGCCAGTGTCGCCAACCGTCGAGCGACGGTGCAGCCGCGCCCGTGGGCTGCACATGTTCCCCCAGCCGTTGGGGAAACCTTTGGTGGGGCTGTCTCGGGTCTGTCTTGGAGTGTTTTCCAGGAACTTCGGCCTGTTTTGGGGCTTCAAGGGGGCCGCACGGGGCATCCTGAGTCTCTTATGGGGTGTCTTGGGGCTTATGTTCGGCCGTTTGGCACCTTGGAAGGTCGTCTTGGGGGCCTCTCTGTTGTCTCGGGGACCTCTAGGGGCCCTTTGGAATCGTCTCGTCTGCAGGCCCTCTGGGTGAGAATTTCCCAAGTCTTCTTGGCTGTCCTCCTCCCTCGTCCGTCTTCATCCAACCTCCTCCCTGCTCGACGACCCCGCCCGCCGCGGCGGCAGCCCCTCGTCGCCCCCTCTGGCGGCCTGGCGCCCCCCCCCCCCTCTCCCCTCGGGGGGGGAGGCCGGCATGCGCGGCGCGGGGTGAGGTCAGCGTCGCCGAGACGGGTACCCAGTCACGGGTGCTTTGGCAGGGCGCAGGGAGTCGAGGGGACCAAACGCCGCTACCCTTCCCTCGTCGCAACGGCTGGATTCGCCTCGCAATCTGTCTCGGAGAGGTCCTGGGAATAGCGGTATCGGTATCTTGTGGCTTCGCCAAAGTGTGCACCTAGTTTGAGCCTGGCCATGCCGATCGTGGGCCCAGGATTGGCGATTATGCCTTCCTGTGCAGGCCAGGAAGGGATTCACTGGTCTTGGGCCCAGGATGAACCTGGCCATGATTAGTGTATGGTCATGGTTGGTGACCTCCTAGGGATTCGCAGGAATGTGGCAGGGAAGCGCCGCTTCTGCGTGGATTGGCGCGCGCAAAAAGCAGGACGGCGCCGCCTTCCGACATCGATCAAGGTCCCCGTCTACTGGGTACCCATAAGGCTGGCGCTGATAAGAGGACAGGTATGGCCGCGGCCGGCAGGGTAGTTCAAGGCCCTCTCGCGCGCGCGTTCCCGCCGCCAGCGTCGTCGTCGTTGTCGTCGTCGTCGTCGTCGTCGTCGTCGTCGTCGTGGTTGTCGTCGTCGTCGTTGTCGTGGTTGTCGTGGTCGTCTTCGTCGTCGTCGTGGTCGTCGTCGCTGTCGTCATTGGCGTGATCATGTTCGTCGAGGTCGTGGTCATTGTTGTTGGCGTCGTTTTCGTCGATGATCGACGCCATCTTCGTTGGGATCTTCTGGCCTCCGGAGATTTCCCGTGGCCCCCAGGGAGCCTTTAGGGACCTCTTAGGGGCCCGTGGAGACTCCGACGATCCAGACCTTCGACTTTTGGGGTTGGTTGTCAATCCCGACGTGTCTCCTTCTTCAGACTCTGCCCGCAGGCGCCAGCACCGACGGTCAGGGGAAAGGCTGATACCTCGTCGCTCGGCGATTCGCTGCCCAACCGAGACGGCGTGGTGCGTAGGGGGACAGCCGGTTCACCGCCTCACCGCGCAGTATTTCTCGACCGTCGCCCATGCCGAATCGAATGGCATGTGCAACTGGGTTTGTACCCCAGGGTGAGCGGACACAAGGTCCCAAGGGACTTACGGACCGCATGGCCCCGCCTCTCAACCAAATGCACATTCCCCGTGCCTGGTACCCATCTCCAGGTCACGGGCGCAGCTAACGCGCCGCTGCCACGGGCAAAGTGCCGCGTGGCTGGTGCAAGAACGACGAAAGCCGGTTTATCTGCCCCCGGCCGCCGCATGCAATTGACAGTGACAGTGTGCCCCGAGGAGTGTGTGGCGCTCACACCATGAGAACAGGTGCCAGGCCCTCACCCTCGGGGCAGGCAGCGCGATGACGAGGAGGAGGGGGAGGAGGAGGAGGAGGAGGAGGAGGAGGAGGAGGAGGAGGAGGAGGAGGAGAAAGAGGAAGGAGGAGGAGGAGGAGGACGAGGAGGAGGAGGCCGTGTGGAGGTCTTTTTGTTGTTGTTGTTGTTGTTGTTGTTGTTGTTGTTGTTGTTTTTTTTTTTTTTTTTTTTTTTTTTTTTTTTTTTTTTTTTTTTTTTTTTTTTTTTTTTTTTTTTTTTTTTTTTACGATGCTTCTTGGGGACCTCTGTAAAACGTTGGGGAAGCCGCGTGCGAGGTCTTTGAAGCCCCCTGGAGGGCTCTGGAATCCTTTTTCAGGATGGGGCCTTCTTGGCTTCTCTGAGCCTGCCTGCCACGTTGGTTGCGATGCAGAGGCTTCCTGGATGCGTATTGTGCTCTCTTGGGATGTCTCTCGGGAGCCTCTTGTTGGGGTTTTGGGGGCCTCTTGGGGGCTTATTGAGGGCCTCTGGCTCCTCTTGGGTTTTTCTATGTTCTCTCGGGGCCCCTTTGGGCCTCAACTTGGGCGCGCCGGCCAGCTTCAGAGGCTCTTGGAAACCTCTTGGGGCGTATTGGGAGTCCCTTGGGGGCATGTTGGGAGTCCTGGGGGACAGATAGAAGGGAAAGGCTTCGCAAGCCCCTTCGCTTTCCCTCTCTTGGGAGTCTCCTGGCTTCCTCTTGGGGCCCTCTTGGGCAGCCTTCTGGGCCTGTTGAGCCGTGTCGGGGCCCTCCTGGGCAAGCTGGGGGGCCTCTTCGGGGCCTCTTGGACAGTCTGGGGTGGTGGCAATTTCGGGAGCCATTTGGGCCGTCCTGGACCATGGGAAGGCGAAACAGGCGAGAACGCTGAAACAATTGGAAGCCAATCCCTCTTGGGGGATCCCTTTCTTGCAGTCCTCTTGGGGTGTCTTGAGTGGGTCCTCGTTCTCGTCGTCGTCCTCCTCCCCCGTCTTCTTATTACTCCTCCCCCCATCCTCCCTTCCTCAACCTCCACATCCTCGGCCCTTCCTTTTTCCTTCCCTCTGTTCCCCACACTCTTTGCCTTCAGTCCCCTCTTCCCCGTCCCCCTCGTCCTTCTCCTCGTCCTCGTCCGCCTCGTCGTCATCGTCGTCGTCGTCCTCCTCCTCCTAAGCAATTCCTTCCTGTCGCACCCCCACGCGTGTCGGTAGGGCGGGTCGGGCGTTTGCCTGACACCTCCTCACCATATATGATCTTGCAGCTTGGAAGGTGACAGCTTCAAGGATGGAGGGCGTGGCTCTTGCTTCAGCACTGCGTATATTTGATTAAAGCTTCGCAGCAGTTTGGATGGGAAGCGTAGGCTGTTCACAAGGTGGCTCTTGCTTCAGTGCCGTGCGCATTCGTCTTATTGTTAAAGCTTCGCGTGCCCCCATCCGCGTCCGTAGCCCCCCCTGGCTCAAGCCGTCTCGGCTCGAGCCCCCCCTGGTCCAGGTACGCGCCGCGCCCGGCCTGCCGCGTTGGCCTCGGCGCCGGCGCCGCCCTGCTGCTGCTGCCCGCGGCGGGCCGCCTGGCCTGGGCCGTTCCCGGCGGCCGCTGCTGCCGCCGCCGCCGCCGCCGCCTCGCCCCTGGAGGCTGGCGCGCGCGCGGCGGCGGGCGGACCTGGCTGCTGCGGGCCGGGCCCGCCCCTGGCTGCTGCTGCTGCCGCCGCCGCTGCCGCCTCCCCCCCGGGGCTGGCGTGCGCGCGGCGGCTGGCGGCGGCGGCGCCGCCGGCCTGGCTGCTGCTGCCCGCGGCGGGCCGCGCCGCCTGGGCCCGCTCCCGGCGGCCGCGCCGCGCCGCCGCCGCCTCCCCCTGGAGGCTGGCGTGCGCGCGGCGGCGGGCGGACCTGGCTGCCGCGGGCCGGGCCCGCCCTGCCCTGACCTTCTCTGGGTCGCCCCCGTATGTCAAAAAATGACAAACGTCGCAACAACCTAAAACGAGAGCTATTTTTAGGTCACGGTTTAAGTAAATAGCAAACTTGGCACACCCAAACCTAAAATCCTATTCCTGGAGTTAAAATGTTATTCTAAGAGCTATTTATAGACCTATTTATAGAGTTATTTATAGAGCTATTTTTGTAAGGCTCTGACAACGTAGTTCGGCAAGGGACGGCCAGAGATTGCCTCAAGACGGCCCCCGAAGCTCCCCAGACTCACCGAGGAATCTCCGAAGGGGCCCAGTGGCGCAAAATCTCGGAGGGGATCGAAGATCGACGAACAGCCAGCCAAACACATGCCCCTGGGAACAATCAAGATCTCGAGATGCGCGTTGGACCAAGAATTCGAAGCGGCTCCAGCCGTGGCGACGAGAACGACCCAGAGCCCATGAGGACCGAATAAAAAAAACAAATCCGAATCGTCGATCGTTCGATCCACGAATTTCGAACCTCGAAGAGAAGCAGCGCGCCGCGCCCCCCAAAGGGCGGCCGAATCGAGGGGCAGGACGTGACGACGACGAAAACGAAGACTCCTCTTCCTCCTCCTCTTCCTCCTCCTCCTCCTCCTCCTCCTCCTCCTCCTCCTCCTCCTCCTCCTCCTCCTCCTCCTCCCCCTCCCCCTCCTCGGCCTCCCCCCAGTGTGCCTCCTCCTCCTCCTCCTCCTCCTCCTCTTCCTCCTCCTCCTCCTCCTCCTCCTCCTCCTCCTCCTCCTCTTCCTTCCATGGCGCGTCCCGCGCCCTCTCCCATCCTCATCGCTTGCCTCGCCCGATCCGCTCGGGTCGGCCCAGGGGCGCCGCTGGAGGCCGACAGTTGCGCGGAACCCCTGAGGGGATCGACGGTAGACGAAAATTCCGTTGATAAAAAAAACGGCCCTGGGATAAATCCAGAGATGCGCGCTGGACCAGAAATTCGAAGCGGATCCAGCCGCGGAGACCGACCCAGGGCCTCGATCGAGGCCCGAAGACGGCAAGACAACACAAAACCGAATCGTCGATCCTTGAAGTTCGACCCTCGAAGTTCGGACCTCGAAGAGGAGCAGCGCCGCTCGGGGGCGACCGAGTCGAAGGGCGGGGCGGGGCGACGACGCCGACGCCGAAGCCGACGCCGACGACGCCAGGGAGAGGGACAGAGAGAGAGAGGGGGGAAAAAAAGATGCTGAGCGCGCACTTTCACTCAACCCGCTCATGCACGGCACAGCGCCGCAGATCAGTCCATGCGCTCTTGCACAGCGCAGCGCTGGAGCACAGTAAAATTAAAGGTGCTGGGGTGCGCAGCCACGGCGATGGTTCTATCTACACCATTCTCATGTTCATCTTCATACGTGCTGTAGTACTTTGGGTTGCCGTGCTGCGTTATACCCAGCGTCATGTGTATGAGCGCGTGGTGTTTCGGCACGTACTTCGCACCAATAGCGCCCCATGACACGTTGAAGCGCACAGCGAGCTGCATCAGCTCGTCTCTCGCCTACGCGAGCACAGGCACGCACCGTCCCGAGAGGCCGCCCAATGAGGGATGAAGGGTAGAGGAGGATGAGGACTGAGGACTGAGGATGGGGGGGGGGGGGGGGGCATGGAGGAGCGAGGGATTTGGGGGGCAATGGGCAGCGGAGGGAGGCGGATCAGAGGAAGCAGCGGCGCCTGGAATGGCATGTTCCTGTGCTCGCCCCCAGTCAAGGCAATGTACTTTGAGATCGCTTGGCCAGCGGATGCAAGCACGTGCCCCCTGGCCCCAAGGATTCCCACGAACTCCCGTACCAACCCCAGGGTGAAGGGCAGCAGCATTCGAGATTCACCTCCTTTGATTTTCAGGCAAGGCTGACGTCGTTTGCCCAACATCTTAGTAGTTATCTTCCTGATGGTGGTGATGGGCTTAGTCGGGTTTGTGGCCTTGAGGGTCTTGTAAAATGTTTTGAGTTTCTTCCTTAGCACCATCAGGCCCAGCTCGAACCTGTCTTTCTTAGTGGGGCCCTGAGTGTCGAACGCGTCCCTGTCTAGAATATCCACGATCACGCGGCCGTGGTAATACTGCAATATGCCCAGGTCGATTGTGTGTAGCATACAATCGACGAAGCCATCGATGCAGAAGAACTCGACCCCGAACCCCCATATACCCTCGATGTTGAACATCGCACTCACCGAACTGATTGTCGACTGTTTACGAGGACGAAAAAACAGCACCTCGCAAGGCACCTCGAGGCCCTCCAGATCATGTATGGTGACGACGGGGCCCCCGATGGAGAGCTTGTCGCCGTGCTTGAGGCCCCAGGCCCGCCCGCGGTTCCTCTGGACAGCGCGCCCCCACGGGTACGATTGCTTGTACACGAGTGCCGCGCACAGACGCTGCAGTTCCAGCGGGGTCTCCACTCGGACCCAAATCAAGTGCGAGCGCAGCTCAGCCTCGTAGGACGCCTGGGTCCTTGGATCATGGCAATTGCGTGGGGGGCGGGTGCGGGGGCTATAGCCCCCGCGCCCATCCCCCACGCAAGTGACAGGCAGGTCGAGAACGGGTATGTGGGTGGTGGGGTGGGTGGGTGTGGGGGTGATGGTGTGGGGCGGGGCGGGGTGGGGTGGGTGGGGGAGGGGGGGTGCGCCTGCGCGCGTGTGTGCGATGCGCGTCCGAATGCATCGACGAGGGCGTTTGGGAAGTGGAGGGCCCCAGCGCAATAGTTTTTCGAGCTGGGTTCAGCCGCGGCGACGACGGGCGCCCATGCAGGAGAACCGCCCGAACATGGACCCTCGGGGCCCGAGGGCCTGTGCCCACCGCCGCCGCCTTCCCCCGTCCTCCACCGCGCCCCCATCCTAGTCCTGATAGTCCAGGGCGCGCTGTGAAGAGTGCACTCCGCGTACCCGCGGTGCATCTGAGCAGGCCGAGCCGTGCAGCATGCGCAGCCTCCCCCGTGCCCTTTCAGGCCCGCCACTGCCGTTCTCTCTGGCATGTCCCCCCGATACTCCACGAGCGCCGCATAGCCAGGTAGGCGATCGCCCGCCCTGGACGCCCTGCCCAGCTCACTCGGTAAGAACGGCGTGCCGTCGTGCCTGAAGGGGGGCGGGGGGAGCGCTGCGCAAGCAAGCAACCGACCGTCGCCGCCGATCCCCCTCTCAGTCTCGCCCTCCACCCACCTCACCCACCACTCATTCCACCGCTCTCTCTCCCCCTCCTCCCGCCCGAGCCAATGCCTCAGTCACTCCATCGCCCCCCTTCCCTCCCCCCCCAACATCCCGATGTACCATGTACCCTGACCTTCCAGGAGGGCTAAAAAATAGCACCAGGACCTCGATATCTGAATTCATGTCGAGGTTTTAGGCGGCCCAGATAGGTCTATAGGTCTGGAGGGCTATCTTTTAGCACTCTGGAAGGCCAGGGCATTGGAGCCCACGCCTGCAGGAGGGCAGTACGCCCCGCTGGGCCAAGTTAATAGCCCAGTTGACTACGATCATGAGCTGATCTGTGGTGCACCGTCCGTTACACCCGCACCTGCAAAGTTGAGAGCCGAGCATTACCCAGACAGTCCACCGCCGCCGCCTAAATGTCGGCCCAAATGAACAACGAATGAAGTTGTCCTTCTTCGTAACTGCTACTTTGTCTGTGTAGAGGCCGACGGGGACGACTGAGCCGTCCGCCTGGGCACGAACGATAGGGTGCGACGTGTACTGGGAGGTGCGGTAGTCCTCTGGGTCCAACGCCCCTAGGTCTAATTCCTGAGGCGTCTCTTTCCAGCAAAAGTACAACAACTCAACGGGGAGGCGAATGGGCATCCGCATAGACTCACGCACATTCTTATCAGCGTTGTAGACGGGGACGTCCGCATAATACAAGACGTCGCTTAGGTCCCTAACCCCGAGCGCCGTCTGAATCTTACGGCTGTGGTTTGACCCGCGGGATCCGAGGGGCACGGCGAATTTTTCCAGCCCTCGACCTCCAGCATCACCTACAAGTTGGGACAGGGTCGCCAAATCTTTCGAATTCCAGAGGCCGCTGCTCCACTTCGCGGCACAATACCGAAACAACTTGTCTTCGGGGCCCCCAGGCTCGTACCCCGACGAGGTCTTGTCAGGCGTTGCAGCGGTAGCACAGGCAGACGCCGCAGCAGCACTCACCACTGCGGCCCCCGCAACATCGCCAGTCGAGTCGTCCCCTTCGGGTGGCGGCGCAAAACTTGACAACACCTCAGACACTAACACGCTGCTTAACCACGAAACGAACTGACGCATTACACGGTGGTAGGGGGTGAGGGGCTGGGCCGAAAGCAAATGCATTGATCGCACCGTCGGCCTCCGTCGCTGCTTGGCGGCGCGGGCGGGCCCGCGGCCAAAATGGCCTTCGCCGCGCGCATGGCGCGTCTGAGCAAGAAACGCACCGCCGCAGACAACCTACACAACCCCCATTCCCCCTCGCCCACCGCCGACCACGTCCATCTTCCACCCTGACCTTCCAGGAGGGCTAACAATAGCGCCAGGACCTCGATATCTTAATTCCCGTCGAGGTTTTAGACAGCCCAGATAGGTATATAGGTCTGGAGGGCTATCGTTTAGCACTCTGGAAGGTCAGGGCACGTCGCCCTCCCCCCCCCCCGTTCGCCCCATCGATCGAAGCAGCCTCCCCATCGGGTCCGTCGAGCAATCAGGGAATCGTTTCAGTGGGCCCCATCTGGGTCCCGACGGCGCCCCTAAAGGCACCTCGCCGCCCCTGCCACTCATCCCCATCGCGTCCCTCCTCGTCCCTCGCCCGCCGCACGCGCTGCTGCTATGCCTCGCTGCCCGCGCCGCCGTCGACCGCGGGGTGGGCGATGCCGCCGCTCCCCCGCGCGGCACTCGAGCACGAGGCGCATTCCTTCTT